ATAAGGCTATGAGGCTATGAGGCTATAGAGCTAGAGGGCTATGAGGGCTATAGGGCTACAGGGCTACAGGGCTACAGGGCTATAGGGCGATTATGCTACAGGGCTATAGGGCTAGAGGGCTATAGGTCTATAGAGCTATAGGGCTATAGGACTATAGGGCTATTGGGGTTACAGGGCTATAGGGCTATAGGACTATCAGGCTATAAGGCTATAGGACTATAGGGCTATAAGGTTATAGGGTTATTGGGCGATTATAGGGCTATAGGGCTATAGGGATATAGGGCTATTAGGGCTATTAGGGCTATAGGGCTATAGGGCTATAGGGCTATAAGGCGATAGAGCACCCGGGCACCCTGGCACCCCCAGGCACCTCCGGGCACCACCGGGTACCTCTGAGCACCCCCGTGCACCCGGGCACCCGGGCACCTGGCACCCTGGGCACCCGGGCACCTCCGGGCACCCCCGGGCACCTCCGGGCACCCCCAGGCACCCCGGGCACCCGGGCACCCGGGCACCCCGGGCACCCGGGCACCTGGGCACCCAGGCACTCGGGAACCAAGTCCGACCACCGAAATCGGCGACGTAGGTCACCTAGACATATGAGTCCGCTGGGGCCCCTACAGAGGCAAGCTCTGATTGGGAAATATTCGAGTGTTCCCATACAGCCCGGAGGCCAGTCCACAAGAAACCTTCCACAAGAAACCCAACCCTGAGACCCCAGGACGTCCATTGATTTTTGGTGTGGGACCGTCGCGCTCTCCATGGCAAAACCATCGAAACCCAAGAAACCCAGAGCACCCTGGAGGCAAGCAGGGTGTTTCTTGGCATGGGTCTCCACTGTATTCGAGTGTTCCGGCACAGCCCGCAGCCGGTTTCGCTAATCGACTTGCGCTCCGCCAAATATACATCCGGTTGTCTTTGGACGTCGACTGGCTATACCCGACCAGGGTGCACTCGAAACGCGGTGCCGCGCGCACGTGGAAGGCCCCTGGCAGATTTCACTACAGTGGAGGCTTGTCGGCTAGTCCACAAGAACCTTCCACAAGAAACCCAACCCTGAGAACCCAGGACGTCCATCGATATTTGGTGTGGGAGCGTCACGCCTTCCATGGAAAAGCCATCGAAACCCACGAAACCCAGGGCACCTTGGAGGCAAGCAGGGTGCTTCTTGGCATGGGTCTCGCCTGCAAAGGGCGCTTTGCGAAAGGGGGTTCTGTCCACCCCCGAGGAGGGACCTGTGGGCCCAAAGCAAAAGGTCACTCCGCCGAGAAATCACTCTCCCCTGAGATGGGACGCACAGAGACATACTACTACTATATGTCCTCCTTGGAGGCGCGCGTCCGACCCGAACATGTAATATACCCATATTGTAGTACATCGTTTCCCGAGCTGTGTGGCCAGAAAGCGCCCGCCACGACGCATATACTGTAAGATTTATCGGGGCGCGCGTCGCCCTTGGGGGGGCGACGCACACATAGTAACAGTATGTTGGGGTGACGCCGATGAGATCCTGCGTGTCAGAAAAGCTGCAGTGGACAAGCTCGACTGGAGCCCTGGACCCATCTTCCCGCCACATCTTCCGAACCGGATCCATCCGCGAGGGTTCCAGGGACAGGAGGACGAAGCAGATCGCCCGTAGCAGACATACTGAGACGCCAGGATCTCAGGGTCGCGCACAGCCGAATGACAGTGCCCTCACCCAAGACTTCATCCTTCTCCTCTGCCGCAGTGGCCTCGGCTGCCGGGGTTCTTCGAGTGTGCGCGGCGTTGCGCGGCAGCAGGCGCCCGCTTGTTCGGCGGCGAGCGAAGGAAGGGAAATGAGAAGGAGAAAGAAGGCCTTCTCAGAAGGCGGCGGGGCTTCTCAGAAGGCCTCCCGCCTTCTCAGAGGTCTTCTGCGTCTTCCGTGAAGGCTTAGAAAATGTCTAAGAAGGCCAGGGGGCTTCCGAGCCTTCTGAGAAGGCCCGCCCCTTCTCACTTCGCCCCCCGGGCTCGCCGCCAAAAAGGAAGTCGCCACGAGGGGGTTACCACCTCCTCGCGGAGAGGGCGACCCGTCAGCTCCGCCAGAGCCCCAAAAGAACTTCCCAGAGCTGTGAATACGCCCTCCTGGCTGCGCCAGAAAAGCGTACACACAGCTCCTGGGTTCAGGATATGCCTGCCCAGGGAACAGTGGATATGTATAGATTTCGCCACCCAATCGTCGAGCAACGACCCTCCGAAGGAGTTGAGGACCCCCCTTGTGCTGACCCCTGACCCCAACCCATCCAAGGAATCCGACTGCATTTGTTTCAACGCACGCTCCAAAAGGTCCCGACCACTTCCCCCGGGGCAAATTTCGCCCCGGATCCGCTGTTGATGGTCCTGGGACAGACAACGGCCTCCAGAGCTCAAAATCGGGAATGAAACGCTCGGGATTGAAACGCTCGGGATTGAAACGCTCGGGATTGGCATTTCTTGACTCGTGGCTCGCCCATTTTGTTGTGCCATCGCACACCTGGGGTCGATTAACCTCATCTTTGTCGAGAACAACCTGGATTAATCCCTCCCTATATACATATATGTGTATGTAAACATGTAAATGTAGCGATAGCAAATATAAATGTGTATACGTGTGTGAGCGTGTAACATACATGTAATAATCAATGCGTGCATGCATAACTATGTGTACACGATGCGAATGCGCATAACGAGAATGCGTGTGTACACCCATATGTACATACATAAGTGAGGAATTACATACATACAAGCATACAAGCAAACATAAGTACAAACATGTATACATACATACGTACATACATACATACATACATACAGACATACATATATACATACATAAATGCATACAAACAAACAAACAAGCAAGCAAGCAAACAAACATATATACATACACATATACATCCCTACACACATACATACATGCATACATGCATGCATACGCATATGGTTGTACATTATGGATGCCACATTGGTGAAGTTATGACGCGGGTCGTTGGCGCCTCCAGCACCACATAAGACATATCACTCATATGAGTTAAAGCCGCATGGCTTGACAATAACCTGCACTGTGAAGCATACGCATTGACTTTGTGGCCCATCCGCGTCCTCGCTTGTCCGCGCGCTCTCGCTAAGTTGCCGCGACTCCTTCACGACGCGTTCTGGAAGCCAGTGAGCTCACAACACGTAGCCCAGATTTCGGACAACTGCCCCCGCATGGCTGTGAGCCAACGTTCCGTCTTCATCGTCGAACGCACAAGTAGGCGAATGGCTCCCGTGGGTTAAAGCGCTCTGGTTGGCGGAGATGGTGGCGGATTCTGTGCGCGAAAGAATGCTTGTTGTTGCCAAAGTGCGGCCAAGGACTTGAGCAGCACAGCAGCTCACATCGTCATGAACGAAAGAAAAGGCATCGTCATGAACGGAAAACGTTGTGCGCGATCGCTCGGGTGCCCTCCTCACTGCTTCTCCAACGTCCAGGTGGAGCTCTAATCGCCGTTGGAGAACTTGCTTTGCACTTCGAGGGTCATGTCAGCCTTCGCGTTCAGACAGAAACCCTGCTCCCAGCGATTCTCGAATCTGGCAACGTCCCCAGTGTCATGCCTTTCCCACTGGCCACTCCAGTCCCCTGAATTTGACCCTGAGGCTTTGAGAAAATTAAGACTTTGAGATCGTAGCTGACATTCAAATAGTGGTCGGCCTGCCAACGGTTGACGATTTTAAACCAGGACTGATCATTACCATTGGATACGACTAATAACTGGGCATTTGAACCATTATTGCTTATGGGAAATATAGTGTCGTCCTCGTTGACAATGGTGTACACACCTGACGTCCATTTATTCTCGGGTTTGTAGTATATAATTTGTGAGGTGGGCAAGATCAAGAGCCACTCGGAGCTCCAATCGCCGTCGGAGAACTTGTTTTGCACTTCGAGGGTCATGTCGGCCTTCATGTTCAGATAGAACCCCTCCTTCCAGCGATTCTCGAATCTGGAACCGTCCGCAATGTCACAGTATCGCCACTGGCCGCTCCAACCCCCTGAGTTTGAAATTGAGACTTTGAGATCGTCGCCAATGTTCAAGTGGTGGTCGGCCCTCCAACTTTTGAAGATTCTGAAAAGGGAGGAATCAGTGGGCACAAACTTCCATTGAGCATTCCAATCACCCTCGCCCGCGAGAGAAGCACTGCCGTCCCCGTTCACATTGATGAACACACCTGGCTGCCACTTGTGCTCGAGTTTGCGGTATCGGGCATCACTCAGCGACAATTTGCCAACCAACACCTGCAAAGTAAGCGACTTCTCAAACTCATCCATCATTCTCCTCGAGTCGCCGTAAACACCGTTCACCGAAGTAATGTGGCCACATGCCTCAATTGTTTTGGTCAGGATTGGCTCTGTTGTGCTCCTCCGCGGCCCCGCCGTCCTTGATCTTCAGCACCTTCAAGCATTGTGGGGGCATCGGACAAGGAACCCTCAGATGAGGGACCCAGGGTCTGGAGGCCAGTGGAACTCCAACCGAGGCTTGGCCGTGGATGTCACCGCCACCCTCATCAGATAAGGAACCCTCCAGGGTCTGAAGCCTCGTGGGCACATTCGTCAGACAAAGCACCCACCGTAGTTGGTCGCCGCGTGCGAGATCTCCAGACCCATGCCAGTTTCCCTCTTCACGTTGATAGAGATATCTTTAGACTCCGGCGGGGGCGGCGCGCGGATGGATAGAAGTCCCTCTCTCGCTCCCACCTTCGTCTTCAACATTCAGATGGAGCTCCAATCGTCGCCAGGGAGCTTGTCTTGCACTTCGAGGGTCATGCGCGCGAAAGAATATCTGGATGCCCCGTGTCCACACCAAGGAATGACAGAATGTGATTACAGGAGGCCCCATGCGTGTCCTCAACAATGTCTTCATATTTAGTGCAAGTCCGACATGTTTGGGTCGCTCCTCCGTACCAAGTAGAAGCGATCAAGTTGTTGCAAACCGTCTTGGGCACCGCGAACGCTGCGTGTAAGATGTGCTTCAATCCCATGAGCGTTCGACGATTGATAAGTTACCAAGGACAGCATCGCGGCTTAAGGCTGTCGAAATATGACTATGGCACGATACGCTCCGTCTGAGGCCCCTAGGGCCTTCGGTGTTCCTCCAAATACTGGTCAATGTGGTATTGACGGTAATCACTTGTGACGCATCCCGAACGCCTTCGCCCGAAATTCTGGCTTTGATCAATGCCTCATCATGGTAAGCCGCACCCGTGTGAATCTGTGTCAGCATCTCAAACATCACGCGCGTCCAAGTATTACCCACACATGGGAACGTATCAAAATACGTGATAAGTTGCCCGTGTTCTGTCACAGATGTCCTTGGCATTAGATTTCAAACAGTCCGTGTCACTGCTGAAGTGTGCATCCTCCAAAGAGCAGAAGTGTCCTAATTTGATTTAAAATGTTGTGCCACTTCTCAATTCCCACCAAGCACACAGAGAATCACCTCGTCCCGTTCGAGGTCAGTCAACCCCGGCGCACAGAGTAAGCCCTGGGCTCAGAACCGTGGTGAATGTGCAAACCTAGCGCATCCAGTAGGATGATAAACAACAAAGCACAAATAATTGCGAACGCTCCCTGCAACGAGCTGGCCGGTACGCGTGACAAGCAGGCATGCGCTTGAATCAAAACGCGAAACGACGGCCTTAGTGCACCACGGAAGTGGCCCCCGACACGCTGAGACCCCTTGCAGATTGAACCCAGCTCGTTGCACCCTACTACACCAGGTTCGTGTCGTGCCGACTTCGGCATTGGATTCTGACACCCCGGGGATCGCTCAATCTTGAAAGATCGGCCGTTTCCAAAACGTCCAAATCGTTCCACATCAAACGATACTGGGTCGCCCGCGGCGTTCAAAGTTGAAGGCCGCTGGCGGGGTCGCCGCTGGTCAACACGACGCGAACCTACCGTAGCTGGACTTAGGTCCGGCATGTCCCCCTACAGGCGGATTTTGGACGAAGAATTCAAAATACTCAAAAGATCAATCATTGCCAAAAACTATATATATATATATATATATATATATATATAATCGTTCCCTGACTATTTGTTGATTATTTTCGATGCCCACTGCACAGGGACAGGCCCGACTTCAAGCTGGATGCCAGCAGTTGCACCTCGACTCCCGCGCGAGGCACGAGGGCCGACCCCCTCTGCTGCGCAAACGGCCCCCCTCGCCGGGCCAAGGCGCGGGCGGCAGCGGGCGCTCTGGGCCCGCGCCAGCACACGAACGACCCTGGGCCGCGACCCCGCGCGCCAGGGGCAGCAGCAGCGTCCAGGTCGGACGCGGCTTCTCTCCCGCAAGGTGCACCTCATGATTCTTACAAGAACCAAATTCAAGGGGCCCAAGGACACACAAATAAATACACACAACACAAATCCCAGGATTCCCCATAGTTTTCCATATTTTCTGGATGTTCGTCTTCTCCCAACTTCCCATATTTCCCACATTTTCCTGGGAGTCGACGATTAATTGTGTCTGTGTGATGTTTACCTCCTGACAAATGTGTGCTGCTCTTTCTTGATTTGTTGTTTGCTTTTTTAGAATTATGTTCCTCTGCATGTGTTATGTTTTGTTTCGAGCCGTAGGTCAGCTGCCCCCGCGCTGGCAGCATCGGTGCAGCCCAGGCTTGGCGCCACCTGTCTGGCGAACCCTCGGCCGGGAGCTGCCAGGAAGCCGCGGACCCCCCTGGCCAGGCCCCGCGGGCCCCTCCCAGCCTGGACGGGAAGAGCGAGAAGAAGACGACGAAAGCAGTGACAGCCGCACGCCTCGAACTGGCCAATACGTTTGCGAAGCGGACATGCCCCGCTCCGCCAAAGAACTCGGACGTACCCAACGCTCTCAAGACGTTTGGCCGCAGGGCCAGATCTCGGTCTCCCCTGGGCATCTTAGGCACGCAGCGGCACGGCGACAGTTGCACGCCTGGCGAAAGGCGAGGTCCCATGGAGACCGCACGGGTCCACACTCCGCTGGACCCCCCAGGGATGCAGGAGACAGGCAACTGCTGCACGCCTGGCAACACCCAGCGGAAGGCGACGCATCATTAAAAAATCTTCGGGGCGCCGCAGTCCAATGCACTCCCTAGGGCGCAGGAGACTGGCGACGGACGCACGCCTGGCAACACCCAGCGGAAGGCGAGGTCTCATGAGGAGCTGTGTGGCGCCGCACGCCGCTGAGCCTTCCCGGGTCCAGGAAAGCGGCGATGGTGGCACGCCTGGCAGCACTCAGCCAAGGGCGAAGTCTCGTTCGGACCTGCGCGGCGCGACAATCCACCAGACCTTCCTGGGCCCAGGGAAGGCGGCGATGGTTGCACGCCTGGCCCACCCCAGGAGGCGCGGCCCCCTCTGGACCCGCGTGTCCCCCGACTCTGGTGGACACCCCCCCCAAGGGCGCAGGCAAGCGGCAGTTGAGGAGGAGGAGGAGGAGGAGGAGGAGGAGCATCAGGAGCAGGAGGAGGAGGAGGAGGAGGAGGAGGAGGAGGAGGAGGGGGAGGAGGAGGAGGAGGAGGAGGAGGAGGAGGAGGAGGAGGAGGAGGAGGAGGAGGACCTCCCCATCCTTCCTCCCCCGTCATACTTATGGCAGCGGTGGTGCAACATTGACCCATCATTGACAGTTGCACGACAGGCAGCACGCAGGGAGGCGAGGTCTCACTCGGATCTGCGTGTCCTCCGACCGCGCTGGGGACCCCCAGGGGCACAGCAAAGCGGCCCAAAAATTGCACTTCTGGCAGCACCCAGCGAGGCGAGGCCTCCTTTGGATCTACGTCGGACCGCACTCCGCTAGATCCCCGAGGGGCGCGGAAAACTGGCGACGATTGTACGTCTGCACTGTCTGCGGGAGACGCGGAGGGGAACGGGAGAGAGGGAGGAGGGGGGAGACGGGGCAAGCGTGAGTCGAGGAGAAGCAGCAGGCGCTACATTCAAAACGAGGACTCTGCACTGGATGCTTGGAAAAACAATCCGTGGATCCCTGGCCACCACTTGGCGCTCCTGCAGGCGAACTGGCTTCGTGGAGACGGCCAAGGGGTCTGAGCTGGACTGGCCCTGGAAAAATCCGTCGAGACAGGGCGGTAAGGGCAAATCCGCTCAAAAGCTTTCACCGAACCCCCCCTGTCGTCCACCTGGTGCATCTTGTCACCTCAGATCCGTCTTCTGACGGCCCCCGAGACCCGAAAACGGACCCCCCGGGACCGCAAAAGGCAAAAAAACACGCCTCGCACCCAGACCCGCGAGCCTCGCCCAACCTCCTTCCTGCCGATCGGAGCCAGCGTTGGGCCACCTCGGTTCCCCCCCGCCGGCCCCAACGGGCTCCTCCCCACTGCGGTCGGGAACTTTGCACGGCGTGTCACCACGGCGGCCCCGGCGGCAAGACATGCCCTGCGAGTGGATCACGCGTCGCTCCGCTCCGCGGGACGGGGAGATGGGAAAAACTCAGGACGCTGGCGCCGGGTGACTCGGGAGCGGATAGCGCGTCGCACCGAGGCGCGGTGAGCCAGAACTGGCGGAGCGACACGCCATCCAAAAGTTCCCGACCGCAGATTTCCCGCCCTCAGGGAGCGTGAACGCATCCATACCCAACGCTCGACGAGATTCCTCCGCGCTTCCCACAGAGAGGACGGGGGGGAGCGAGGGCCGTGGAACAGACGAGGACAGGGACGATGCAAAGCTTGAGATGCCACAAGCTCGCGCTCAAGCTCGCGCTCGTGCTCCTCCCCAACCTTCAAAACATGTTTTCCGTCGCAGCGCGGCAAAGGCGATCCGCACGTGCGCTCGAGTAGCCCGGGGGGCGCACGGCATACGCACTAAGAACTAACTCGCAGCAAGAGAAGAGAAGGCGGGGGAGACAAACTTTCAAATCACAGGGGGGCCGCCAGCAAGGCTTGCCACGCATTGGGCGCCATCGGCCTCGCGAACCAGTTGGCAATCTCAGACCTGTGACGTTGAAATCCTCGGGGAGGCTCGCCGCCTCGGCAGACACTGGCCTGGGCGCGAGCAGCTGCGGCCCGGCCCTCCCTCCTGCCAGCACGCGGGGCGGTCGCAGGGGGCGAAGAGGAGGAGTCCGAGGCGAAGACCTGTACATGTCCGCCGCCTGGGGAACCGACGTCGCAGGGCCCCGGTAGGCGGTGGATGTGGCTGCATACATCACTGCCTGCCGAGTTCACCGGGGACCGATCACCCGGGCGGCGGTGATGGGTAAATCCCCGCCCCCGGCAGAGGGGAAAGGATACTGCGGTCAGGAACAGTTGCTTAGCGTGCCGTGGCGGCGGCCCCGGCGACACGCTGTGCCCTGTAAGCGGATAGCGTGCCGCTCGGCTCCACGTGGCGGGAGGCTGGGAAAAGCTCGGGACGTCGATGCTGGGGGACTGAGAAGTGCTTGGCGTGCTGCGCCGAAGCGCACTGGGTGAGAACCGGCGACGCAACACGCTAACGAAAAGTCCCTGCCCCTACCGTATCGACTGGAGGAGGAGGAGGAGGAGGAGGAGGAGGAGGAGGAGGAGGAGAAGGAGAAGGAGGAGGAGGAGGGGGAGGAGGAGGAGGAGATGGAGGAGGAGGAGGAGGAGGAGAGGAGGAGGAGGAGGAGGAGGAGGAGGGGGAGGAGGAGAGGGCGGAGGCGGAGGAGGAGGAGGCGGAGGAGGAGGGAGGAGGAGGAGGGGAGGAGGAGGAGGAGGAGGAGAGGAGGAGGAGGAGGAGGGGAGCGAGGAGGAGGAGGAGGAGGGGGGGAGGAGGAGGAGGAGGAGGAGGAGGAGGAGGAGGAGGAGGAGGAAGAGGAGGAGGAGGAGGAGGAGGAGGAGGAGGAGGAGGAGGAGGAGGAGCAGGGGGAGGCTGCGAGCAGCTGCCTCTTCAGGCAGTCCAGCACCGCGCCCTCGTCGCGGCAGCAGCGCCGCAGGGCGCGGCCGGACACGAGCACCCCCTGCCGCTTGGCGCCGATGCTCGGCAGCGCGTCGGCCTTCAGGGCCTGCAGGGGGCGGCTCGTGCGGCCGTACGGGTGCGGCGGCTTCGATCGCACGGTCTGCTCCCAGGCAGGTGCGCATGCACGCTCTCCTCTCCATCCTCGTCGCTGCAGAGCGACATGAGCCTCGGCCTCCTCATCCTCCTCATCTTCCTCCTCCAACTTCGCATCCTCCTCCTCCGCCGCCTGCGCACCCTAACCCTCACCCTCACCCTCACCCTCACCACCACCTTCACCACCACCACCATCATCATCGCCACCATCATCACCACCATCATAGTCGTCACAATCACTATCATCATCCTCATCATCAGCATCATCATCATCATGATCATCAGCAGCAGCAGCAACATCATTATTATCACCACCCACACCATCATCATCATCATCATCATCATCATCATCATCATCATCATCATCATCATCATCATCATCATCATCATCATCATCACCATCAAAACAACAACAGCAACAACAACAACAACAACGAAAATAACAACAATCACAACCCCATGCGCAACAGGTGCGTCATCCTCACCACCAGCACCACCACCACCACCACCACCACTACCATCATCATCATCATCATCACCATCATCATCATCATCATCATCACCATCATCACCATCACCATCATCTTCATCAGCATCATCATGATCGCCATCGTTGTCGGCATCGTCGTCGAAAGCATCCTCGTCACCATCATCATCATCACCAGCATCATCAACAACATCACCATCATCACAAGCAGCATGAACAGCAGAAGCAGCAGAAGCATCAACGCCACCACTACCATAATCGCCATAATCGTCATCGCATTCGGCATCGTCGCGGTAAGTACCCCCATTATCATCAGCATCATCATCAGCATCAGCATCAGCATCATCATAATCATCCTGATCATCATCACCATCACAACCACCACCATCATCATCATCGTCATAGTTATCGTCATCGTCATCATCATCGTCATGAGCAGCATCATCAACATGATCAGCATCATCATCAGCATCATCATCATCATCCGCATCATCATCATGATCGTCGTCATCATCATCATCACCACCACCACCATCATCATCATCAGCAGCATGGTCATCAGCAGCAGCACCACCACCAGCATCAGCATCAGCATCAGCATTATCATTATCAGCATCAGCATATGCATCATCATCATCACCACCACCACTACCATCATCATCAGCAGCATCATCAGCATCATCAGCATCATCATAAGCATCACCATTATCAGAATCAGCATTATCAACATCTTCATCAGCAGCACCATCGTCAGCATCAGCATCAACATCATCAGCAGCGTCAGCACAATCAGCAGCAGCAGCATCATCATCAGCAGAAGTATCAGCATCAGCATGATCATCATCATCAGCAACACCATCAGCAGCAGCATCATCATCGTCATCATCATCAGCATCATCATCAGCATCATCATCAGCATCATCATCAGCATCATCAGCATCAGCAGCATCAGCATCAGCATCAGCATCACCGCCACCATCACCACCACCACCATCAGCATCATCTGCATCATCAGCATCATCAGCATCATCATCATCATTAGCATCATCATCAGCATCAGCATAATCAGCAGCAGCAGCATCATCAGCAGCATCACCAACATCAGCAGCAGCATCATCATCATCAGCATCATCATCTTAGTCCTCATCATCAGCAGCAGCATCATCATCAGCAGCAGCGGCATCGTCGTCCTCGTCGTTGTCGTCATCAGCATCATCATCATCGTCAGCATCACCGTCATCATCATCATCATCATCATCATCATCATCATCATCATCATCAGCATCATCAGCATCATCATGAGCATCATCATCATCATCATCATCATCACCATCAGCATCAGCAGCATCGTCATCATCGTCATCATCAGCAGCATCATCATTATCAGCAACAGCATCCTCGTCGTCGTCATCATCATCCCGATCATCATCATCATCATCATCAGCATCATTATCATCATCATCACCATCTTCATCAGCATCATCATCGCATCATCGTCATCACAATCATTATCATCATCGTCATCATCCTCGTCATCATCATCATCATCAGCATCAGCCTCAACATCATCATCATCAGCATCAGCATAATCATCATCATCAGCATCATCATCCTCATCATCATCATCAGCAGCATCATCATCGGCATATTGCTGCCACCCCTCCACTGAGGAATGAGTAAAGAAATAAGGAGAGACGGACCTCTTCGTCCTAATCCTCCGTCCTGCAAGTCCCCCTCACCCAGGGCCTCGAAGTCTTCCCGCTCAGAGCGGACCGCCGCCTCGGACTTGAAGGCTGCCACACATGCTCCTCCGCACACTCCAGATCTCTTGCCATCGTCACAGCGCCCTACCAGAAGGCTGGAAACACAGTTGGCCGGATTCACACGTGGAGCATCCGGAGGCCGTGGGCCGGGTATGCATGCGCGAGCCTGGCGTGCCCGGCCGCACAGGGGCCGACCGCCGGAAAGGAATCCGCCCACAGGTGTATCCAGCCCTCGCCCAGGCGAAACGCGTCATGTGTACCCAGCTGCCTGACACAGCGTTAAGCACGCCAGCATCGATGCACGAAGGCACGCGCGCGATTTCCCAGACGAAAGCGCCCGCGTGGCCACGCGAGCTGCGGGCAGCAGTCATCCAACGGCAAGAAAGCGCATGCAAGGCAACGAGATAGCAGAACCGGCAATCCGCCTGCAAACACTAGAACTAGCCCGCCGCGTGCGCCATACACGGCGCACGACAAGTCCGGGCGAGGAACGAGAGGCAATAACAAATCAGTGGGATCAAGAACGATACTGATCACTATTACAGTTCAGCCACGCCCTCCTCCTCCTCTTGATCCTCCCTCCTCCCTCTTCCTCCTCCTGCTCCCTCCTCCCTCTTCCACCTCCTGATCTTCCTCCTCCGCCTTCTCGTCCTCCTGCTCATCATCCTTCTCCTCCGCTTCATCCCTGTCTTCCTCCTCTCCTCCCTGCGCAGTGCTCCTACCCCCCGAATACATCCATCCGTCTTCCTCCCTCCTCCTCGTCCTCAGCCACCTACTCCCGCCATTCTCTCCCTCCACCCTCCCCCCTCCACGGTTTACCCTCCACCCCTCCTCCCTCCCTTCCTCCCTCCCTCCCTTCCCTCTCTCCCTCCCTCCCCCCTCGTCCCCATGTCTCGACACCCTCCCGCGCGTCCCTGATCCAGCATGAAATACTCGTGGAGCTTCAGGGCCTCCATGACGTGCTGGCCTGAGCGCTCAAGACGCCGACCGCGGCAGCATCCGCAAGGAAAACATTGAATGGTTTTAGTAATCGACATACAGCGCAGAACTTATACCTTTGCTTCTCGACCACGCTGCGTGGGCTCTCCTGCAGCGCTCGCTCAAGGCTCGCTGCACGCTGCGCCCTGGAAGCACGACTGCGGGCCACGCGATCAGCCTGGGAGGTGGCCGAGTAAAGGGATGGGGTCTGAATTGCTACTTGCAGGACTACATGTATAATGCGCTTCTGCACACGATCTGCAGTATTATCAATATCGCACACTTGCTGGATGACATGCTGGGGGAGCCTGGCACGACGGGTTCCATCCCCGGCGCACACATCTGCCACCTGATTTGCGGTGCAGCCCACACGGACGATGTGGACCCCAACAACCCCTTGCTGGAGGCGGGACTATACTTTTCTGCAATGGTATTCCACTCGATGTGTTGTAAGCCTCCCAGAAGGCAAGCCAGTCCGATGAATTGGTTTCATGCTTCGAGTGGGGCCCACGTCGAATTCCATCGACCAACCTCTGACAATCCAGCACGAAGTGGCACTCACCACCTGTATGCTTGACAGCCACAATTACGCCTACAAGCTCAGCTAACGGGACGGTCTGGATCCGTCCTGGGAGGGTGTCGTGCGATCTACATGTGACCCCGCCTCTTTGGACGATGGCGCAGCCCCAGCCGCAGCGGCGGAGGCGCTTGTCATCAGTGCAGTCCCCCCCACTACCGTCCGACCCGACCTCGTCATCACGACCAAGGTGCACACGCCCTCCAGCCTGTAAGGCGTCCTCCTCCTCCTCCTCCTCCTCCTCCTCCTCCTCCTCCTTCTCCTCCTCCTCCTCCTCCTCCTCTTCCTCCTCCCTCTCCTCCTCTTCCTCCTCCTCCTTCTCCTCCTCCTCCGCCTCCTCCTCCTCCTCCTGATCCTCCTCCTCCTCCTCCGCCACATTCCCCCTCGCCCTCCTACTCTTCCAACTCATCCCTCATTCCATGGTCGCCGCCGTCGTCGTCATCACCAGCATCATCAGCATAACCATAACCAGCAGCAACAACAGAATCGTCATCGTCCTCGTCATCGTCATCATCGTAATCAGCAGCATCATCATCAGCACCGTCATCATCGTCAACATCACCATCATCAACAACACCATCGTCATCATCATCAGCCGCAGCAGAGACATCCTCGTCATCATCAGCATTATCATCTGCATCATGAGTAGCAGCATCAGCATCGTCGTAATCAGCATCATCATTATCGTCATCATCATCATCATCAGGACCATCAGCACCACCACCGTCATCAGCAGCAGCATCACCCTTGTCACCATCATGATCCGCCTCTGCAGCAACTTCATAATCCTCATCACCGGCGTCACACTGTTCACCATCATCATCGTCATCATCCGCTGCATCAACAGCATCATCACCATCATCATCAGAAGCAGCATCACCATCATCAGCAGCAGCATCGCCGTCATCATGATCACCAGCGTTAGCACCATCATCACCATCATCATCAACAACATCATCGTCATCACCCTCGTCATCGTAATCAGCGTCACCCGTATGATTCACATCACCATCATCATCAACAACATCATCATCATCATCATCATCATCACCATCGCCATCGTCATCGCCATCATCACCAGCAGCATCATTATCAGCACCTTCGGCATCATCAGCAGCATCATCATCGTCATCATCGTCATGATACCCATCATTACCTTCACCACCACCACCATCGTCATCACCACCAGCAGCAGCATCATCATCGCCATCAGAATCACCCTCATCATCCTCGTCATCGCCATCATTAGAATCACCATCATCATCACCAGCCGCAGCATCATTACCATCATGGTCATCATCCCCACACCTTCTCACCATCCTGCAAGGATTTATCGCCAGGGCGTTGGACCCTGTCGGTGTCAGCCTGGGGCCCCTCGTCGCCCTGGGAGGCCTCCCTCGACGACGTCGTGGGAGGCAGCCGCTGTTGGGCCACGAGATGCGCACACGGCGTCTCGAGCACACGCGCGCTCGACGCAGTACCTGCCATCCTCGCAGGTTTCGCAGCATTCGCGCCGACGTCCAGCACGAGCAAGCTCAAACTGGACCCGAAAAGAGGTGGAGGAGGGGCTCTCGGAAACGGGCCCGGCCTCGGCGCCTCGCCCTGCTCCTCCGGACCCTCTCTCTCCAAGCTCCTCGTCCCCCCCTCCTCCTCGCAGAGGGCAGGCGCTCGATATCTCCTCCTCGCCGTGCCCCCTCTTCAGCGGCCGACGCCGAGGCGCGGGCGCACTCCGTCCACCACGCGGTCCAGGTCCGCGGGGCTGTCGATGCGTGGTCCTGCGGGGGAGGGGCAGATGCAGGACCCCTCTCTGCCAGGGGCGAGGCAGAGTGGGTGTTCAGGGGACTCGGGGTAGACACTGATAAGCCAGCACAAGTTCCAGCATCTCCCAATGTGCTTCGATGTGTTCTGGATTCTCGTCTTCCCCACCCGTTTTCCAGATATTCCTGGAGATCGACGCTTGATTGTCTGTGCCCAGGTGTTCCTCCAGGTCTCCGCCAGGGGCGAGGCAGGGTGCCCCCTACAGCGCGCAATGTCTGCCTGGCGGTCTCAGGTTCTGAGCTATGGTGCCAACCACGCCCTGCTGGGACACGTCTGCCGCATTCACGATGGCGCTCATCCTCATGCTCCTCCTCCTCCTCCTCCTCCTCCTCCTCCTCCTCCTCTCCTCCTCCTGATCCCTCCTCTCCTCCTCATCATCCTCCTCCTCCTCCTCCTTCTCTCGGATTCCCCCTCCTGATCCTCCTCCTGATCCCTCCTCCTTCTCCTCCTCCTCCTCCCTTTCCTCCGCCTCCTCCTCCTCCTCCTCCTCCTCCTCTCCTCCTCCTCCTCCTCCTCCTCCTCCTCCTCCTCCTCCCCTTTCCTCCGCCTCCTCCTCCTCCTCCTCCTCCTCCTCCTCCTCCTCCTCCTCCTCCTCCTCCTCCTCCTCATCCTCCTCATGCTCCTCTCGAGATAAGGCGTCTGACTGGACGCCCACCACGGCCTGCCCTGCTGAACCTCCATCATGAGCCACCGAGAGCGGCCGGAGGCCCCTGGGTGCACGTGGAGGCCTCTGGGGATCTCTGGGGACCTCTGGGGACCTCTGAGGACCTCTGGGGACCTCTGGGGACGTCCGAGTATCAGGATCCTCCTCCCCCTCCTCTCCTCCTCCTCGTCCCTCCTCCTCCATCCTCCTCCTCCTCCTCCTTCTCCTCCTCCTCCCCTCCTCCTCCTGCTCCTCCCCCTCCTCGTCCTCGTCCTCCTCCTCCTCATCCTCATCCTCATCCTCCTCCTCCTCCTCCTCCTCCTCCTCCTCCTCCTCCTCCTCCTCCTCCTCCTCCTCCTCCTCCTCCTCCTCACTCAAGGCCCTCACCCAACACAACACAACACAGCTCTGGGGCCCTCTGGGGACCTCGGGGCGGCACGCAACCTTGCAGTGGACGCGGTTGTCTGCCTTCGGCTCTGCCAGTGCGGTGCTTGCGGCCCTGCCTCTGTCTCTGCACGCCAGCATGTACGCAGTACTGCGTGCACGTGTGTTCGCCTGCATGCACACATGTACCCCACACGCGTGTAAGCCCTTGGCAGACGACGGGCCAGAACGAAGTCCTGGCTCTCTCAGTCTATAGGGGCTTCAGAACTCTCAAGGCTGGCATCTCTTTGAGCCTCGCACGGCGGATAGCTTCTTTTGCGGACCCAGAGGCCCCAATAGGTTCCCCAGAGGCCCAAAACTCAAAATACAAGGAAAAACGTCAAACGCATCCCTTTGAGCCTTGCACGGCGGATTGCTTCTATTGCGGACCCAGAGGCCCCAAGAGGTTCCCCAAAAGCCCAACACTCAAAACACAACGAAAAACATCATACGAAAGGTCTGTGGGGGACGCCGCACCCCGAACTCCGACGCTGCATCTGCCTGGGGACGTGGGCCCTCCGAGCTCTCGAACCTCCGCACGCGGGCAAGGCTGATGTTCATATCCGCTGTGCCGTGCACTTTCGGGAAGGGGCGCTACAAGGCCGAGGCACAGTGGACGCATGCACGCAAAGTCCAGCCTCTAAGGGCCAGATTGTTACCTCTGCGGTGGACAAACCTCCCTGTAGCAAACCAACCTTTAGTGAAGACGGCCTGGGACCGAAGCCGACGGACCCGGGCCCGCAAAAACGACTGCCGCGACACCCTCTCGCGAACCGAAAGCGGCCAAATTGGCTCATCGACGCGTCAGGGCAGGAGGCCTATCAACCCCCGACTACCCACAGCCCCTGCGCCTCGGGGGAGTCTCGGGAAGGGGGCCCGAAGCGCCGCGCTGCAGCGGATGTGCACACGCGCCTTGCTCGCACCGCGCCCTCGCGGCCGGCCTCCCGTCGCGCACCGGGGCTCCACGGCCCTGGGGCCCGAGACCGGAAGCCTCCCAGATCCCAGACGGGGTCGGGGTCTCCAGGTGGGGCCCGAGGACCGCGCCGCATCGTCGAAGCATCACCGCTGCAGCGGCGCCGTCGGCGCGGAGAGACAGCGGGCTCCACACGGAGCCGCATCGGCGACGCACGGGCGGTGCGGCGCGATGCTGCGAATCCATCTGCTCCGGCCCCATCTGGGAGGCTTGGCGTACACTCGGAGCCGGCTCCTCGTCGCGGCTCGAGGCTTGGCCGCCCCGGGGCCCGAGACGGACATCGTCGAGGACCGCACTGAGAAGCCACGGCTGGCGCCGGCGCGGCCGAGGGCGCGTGCCCCCGACCCGCTGGCGGCGGGCTCATAGGCTGCACGCAAGCGACCCTGGGCAAGAGTTTCCCTTCGTGCGCGGCTTCTGGGGGGGCGCGAGGGGGCCAAGCCCAAGCGCGCAGGCCGCTGCCATCGTACCGCATTCAGAGATCCAGGGCTCCCAGAGGGCCCTCGGCGACTCCGAAGGGTTTGGTTTGCAAGTAAAGGCTATCTATTGCAACCGGCATCCTGGGCGGCACCCTGGGGGCGGGCGGGGACCTCGATGGAGTTCTCCGCCGCGCCCAGAGGAGGCCCGACGAGCAAAGTGTCGTGCCCCTCCTCCACCTCCTCCTCCTCCTCCTCCTCCTCCTCCTCCTCCTCCTCCTCCTCCTCCTCCTCCTCCTCCTCCTCCTCCTCCTCCTCCTCCTCCTCCTCCTCCTCCATCTCCTCCTCCTCCTCCTCCTTCCTCCTCCTCCTCCTCCTCCTTCCTCCTCCTCCTCCTCCTCCTCCTCCTCCTCCTCCTCCTCTCCTCCTCCTCCTGATCTTCCTCCTCCCTCCCTCCTCCTCTCCTCCTCTCCTCCTCCTCCTCCTCCTCCTCCTCCTCCTCCTCCACCTCCTCCTCCTCCTCCTCCTCCTCCTCCTCCTCCCCTCCTCCTCCTCCTCCCTCCTCCTCCTCCCTCCTCCTCCTCCTCCTCCTCCCCTTCCCCCTCGTCGCTCACCCTTCCCTCCCGTCCTTTCTCCTCCCCCCGGGCGTTTTTTCCAGACCCATCGCGTCTCCGTGTCTTCTCCGCCACGCACCCCGGCATAACCACACCCTTTGCAGCCGCCGCACCAAAGGTCACTCCGGCGAGGGCTCACTCCCACGACCAGTCGAGCTCCGGCGAGGGCGCCTGTGCCGTGGGGAGGCTCTGCGGGCGGCCGCGTGCGCTCGGCGGGGCGCGGGTCGGCGGCCTCGGGAGGAGGAGGAGGAGGAGGAGGAGGAGAGGAGGAGGAGGAGGAGGAAGAGGAGGAGGAGGAGGAGGACGACGAAGACGAGGAGGAGGAGGAGGAAGAGGAGGAAGAGGAGGAGGAGGAGGAGGAGGACGAAGACGAAGGAGGAGGAGGAGGAGGAGGACGACGACGAAGACGAGGAGGAGGAGGAGGAGGAGGAGGACGAGGATCCTGACACTCGGACGTCCCCAGAGGTCCCTGAGGTCCTCAGAGGTTCCCAGAGATCTCCAGAGATCCCCAGAAGCCTCCACGTGCACCCATGGGCCTCCAGCCGCTTTCGGAGGCTCCTGATGGAGGTTCAGCAGGGCAGGCCGTGGTGGGCGTCCAGTCAGACGCCTCATCTCGAGAGGAGCATGAGGAGGAGGAGGAGGAGGAGGAGGAGGCGGAGGAGGAGGAGGAGGAGGAGGAGGCGGAGGAAAAGGAGGAGGAGGAGGAGGAGGAGGAGGAGGAGGAGGAGCGGAGGAGTCAGCCGCGCTGGGAAAGCGCTACCGCCCTCTGGCGTGTGCAGGACGCCAGGGAGCTCTCGGCCCCAGGCCTCGAAGCCGACGCCCGCTGGTCCGGGAGCGCCTCCTGACGACGGCCTCGAGGCGAATCCAGCCGCGGCGACCAGGGCCTCGGGGAGGACGGAGGTAAGAACGATTGCAAAAAAACGCCAGAATGTCCTGGAGGACGACGCCACCTCCTCCTCCAAGGAGGAGGAGGACGACGACGACGATGACGACGATGACGACGAGGAGAAGGGGCAGGAGGAGAAGGAGGAGGAGGAGGAGGAGGAGGAGGGACGAGGAGGGACGAGGAGGGACGAGGAGGGACGAGGAGGGACGTGACGGCCACGACAATGATGACGACGACGACGACGACGACGACGACGACGACGGCAGTGGTGGTGGCGGCGGCGGCGACTCTGGTCCGCGGGGGCGATCCTCCGAGCCTGCCGTCACGCAACTCCGCCGAATACCACTGGAGCCTCTCGTCCAGCTCGGCGGCCGCGGTCAGGTGCGGGGAGTTGCCTGCCCTCTACGCTACAGAGATCTGGGCATTCGGCAGGCTCGTGTCGTGGTCACTTCGGCTTTGGTCTCCAGCACCGTGCGGATCGCTCAGCCTTGACCGCTTTCCGACAGCGCAAACCGCTCGATGTCGGCCGACTCCGAACCACCGGCGGCATCCAACCTTGAACGCCAGCGCTGGGGTCGCCGCCGCGCCAACGCGGCGCGAACCCACCATACACTGACACCCGCCCGTGAGCTTTCCCTGTGCCTTTGGGGAGGGTAGCGGTGTGTAAAATCGCCAGCTGGTCGTGGTGACCTGTGCACCGCCACCCTGCCCTGAGGCCGAAGAGCAATCCACTCGGGGGCTCTGTGTACCTTTTTCTTCTGGTAGGCCCTCTGGCCGACATCGTCGTCTTCGTCGCCCCTCGCGTTCCTCCGCCCTTCCCCTCTCCTCCTCCTCCTCCTCCTCCTCCTCCTCCTCCTTCTCCTCCTCCTCCTCCTCCTCATCATCATCAGCATCATCAGCATCATCAGCATCAGCAGCATCATCAGCAGCAGCAAAATCATTATTATTAATATTACCATCATCATCATCATCATCATCATCATCATCATCATCATCATCATCATCATCATCATCATCATCATCATCATCATCATCATCATCATCATCATCATCCGTAGCATCATCATCAGCATCATCACATCACCCACAGTATCATCATCATCAGCATCATCATCAGCATCAGCATCATCGTCATCGTCATCGCCATCATCATCAGCATCAGCATCAGCATCAGCACCATCATCATCATCAGCATCAGCCACCATCATCAATCATCATCATCATCATCATCATCATCATCATCATCATCATCATCATCATCATCTCCATCATCATCAGCCGTAGCATCATCATCAGCATCATCAGCATCACCCACAGTATCATCATCATCAGCATCATCATCAGCATCATCATCATCGTCATCGTCCATCGCCATCATCATCAGCATCAGCATCAGCATCGCATCATCAGCATCAGCATCAGCATCAGCATCAGCATCAGCATCAGCATCAGCATCAGCATCAGCATCAGCATCATCAGCATCAGCATCATCAGCATCAGCATCAGCATCAGCATCATCATCATCATCATCATCATCATCATCATCATCATCATCATCATCAGCATCATCATCATCATCATCATCATCATCATCATCATCTTCATCCATCATCATCATCATCATCATCATCATCATCATCATCATCATCATCATCATCATCAGCATCATCATCATCGTCATCGTCATCGTCATCGCCATCATCATCAGCATCAGCATCAGCATCAGCATCAGCATCATCAGCATCAGCATCAGCATCAGCATCAGCATCATCATCATCATCATCATCATCATCATCATCATCATCATCATCATCATCATCCTACTCGTTCTCCTCCTCCTCCTCTTCTTCCTCCTCCTCCGCCCGCCAGGCTCCCAGCACAATACAGCGCCCCTTTTTGCCGCCGCTGGTCTCGCTGGCAGCGGTCCGGATCCCCACGGAGCTGCCCTGTCGGAGGCTGCGCGGTCGGGTCTGTACAGCCGGGCGGGAGGGGAGACGAGGGAAGGGGGGCGCACCTGTCTGCCACACCCTACTCTTGTCAGGAGGGAAAAAACACACAGACACAATTAATCGTCGATTCCCCAGAAAACATGGGAAAATATGGGAAGTGGGGGGGAAGATAAAATCCCAGAAAATATCGGAAAATATGGGGAATCCTATTATTTGTGTGCATTTATTCATGTGTCCCAGGGCCCCTTCATCTTGCGCCATCTGGAACCGCAGCACATCTTGTTCAGGGGCTCCGCTCGATTTCCCCAGGTCTTCCTCGCGGCAAGCAGCACGTGTTGACCCGACTCGGGGGAAAGCGGGGGCCAGTTCCTTGCAGGCGCTGTCATGCAAGAAACGCCTCTGTTGGATCATCTGCTCTGGGCGGGGCTCTTGTGTCACAAAGCTCATACGAGGTGTCCGTACCCCCTCCTGCACATCCCCCACTCGAAATCTTGACGCGCAAGCGCCCGGAACTGCGGATGATCGCAAGGGACCACGGACCATCTCGACACGCCAGCCCCGTATGGTCCCACGCATGGCTCCCGCTCGTATCCACGTCGCCCAACTTCGCGCGTCGCGCCCCGGCATGCGCCACGGGACACGCCACGCCGCGCTCTCGCCAGGCCGCACTGAATAAGGGCAGCTCTCCGGCGAGGGACACGAAGCGCGATTACGGTCGGGAATGTGTGGATGGCGGGTCCCCGCGGCCGCCCCGGCGACGCGCCGTACCCTGCGAGTGGATGGCGTGTCGCTCCGCTCTGCGGGGCGAGAGGCTCGGAAAGGATTGGGACGCCGTCGCGTGGGGACTGGGAAGTGGACAGCGTGTCGCGCCGAAGCGTGGTGGGCCAGAACTGGCGGAACGACATGCTATCCCAAAACTCCCGACCGCATCTTCACGCCCGTGGGGATGACCTGGCACATGGTCAACTCGCCTGGTCCCCCCCCGTAGGGGTCGCCTTGATATGGCCCCGGGGCAGCCGTGCCCGCGCCTCCGCCACGCGCACCCCCGAGGATCACGGACCCCACCTTGGAACTAAGAACCGCTCCTCTGCCTCGACGCCCCGCCTATGTCCGCCACCGCCGTGCCCTGAGGCAAGAATTTTCAGTGCCCTCGAGCCCCTTCGAGTTCCTTGCATGGAACTCTGAAAATATCATGTAAGGTGCTCGACCACAAGAAAACCTTCCACCAGAAACCCAACCCTGAGACCCCAGGACGTCCATTGACTTTTGGTGTGGGAGCGTCACACTTTCCATCGCAAAAACATCGAAACTCAAGAAACCCAGGGCACCCTGGAGGCAAGCAAGGTGTTTCTTGGCATGGGCCCACACTGTATGCAAAGGGGCCCACGGCGCCCCGTAAACGTTTCAGGTCAGCGCGAGTGCGGCCACCGCGCGAGGAAGACGGCAGGCGCCCGGACGAAAGAATCAGCCCGTGAACGTGGACATCCCCTGAGCCGTCGCACCCGAACGCCGAGGAGAAGAAGGAGGAGGAGGAGGACGAGGAGGAGGAGGAGGAGGAGGAGGAGGAGGAGGAGGAGCTCCTTGGAGCTCTCGCGCGCTCCGGGCTCGCTCCCAGGGGGTCCCACGGCTCGAGCCGAGAGCGCGCGGGCCTCGGAACAGGCGGAGCGACCGCCACCGAGGGAGGAGAGGGTCCCGGGCCGCGCCTCGCGCGGCGGGGCCCGCGGAGGTGCCTGGCCGCGGTCGGCCCCCTCTCCTGGCGGGTGCCTCCTCCTCCTTGCCCTCCTCGGCCGTCTCGCCTCCATCGTCACCCCTTGCCCACCCTCTGCCCTCCATCCTCCACCCTCGTCCCCCGTCCATCATGACCAACATCACCATCATCATCCGCATAAGGCGAGGAGGAGGGGGGTACAGAATCACAGAGGGAGTGTTCACATAGAGATGAATGTGTACATGCATATATATAGAGAGAGAGAGAACAAAAAAAAAAAAAAAAAAAAAAAAAAAAAAAAAAAAAAAAAAAAAAAAAAAAAAAAAAAAAGGTGTGTAATATTATATATATTAATAACAAACAATAAAAATATGTGTTACCCTGTGACGTACCCAACCCATTTGTATCAATGGAAACGAGGAGTTGGCCGAAACTTGTATGGACAATCACCTTGATGTGTAAGCTACTTGGGAGGCGTCACTGTGCTGGGCCCCGCCAGCAGGCCTCGAAAGTGGCGACAGTTTGACAGATCGCAGCCCCCCAGGGATGGCGAGGTCCCATTTGAATCTGCGTGTGGCGTCACTGTGCTGGGCCCCCCAGCAGGCCGCGAGAGTGGCGACAGTTTCACAGATCGCAGCCCCCCAGGGATGGCGAGGTCTAACTTGAATCCGCCGTGGGTGCCCACTGTGCTGGGCCCCCCAGCAGGCCTCGAAAGTGGCGGCAGTTTCACAGATCGCAGCCCCCCAGGGATGGCGAGGTCCCATTTGAGTCCGCCGTGGGTACCCACTGTGCTGGGCCCCCCAGCGACCCTCGAAAGTGCGACAGACAGATTGGCGAGGTCCCATTTGAGTCCGCCGAGGGTACCCACTGTGCTGGGCCCCCCAGCAGCCTCGAAAGTGGTGACAGATTCGCAATCGCAGCCCCCCAGGATGGCGAGGACCAATTATGAGTCCGCCGTGTGTAACCACTGTGCTGGGCCCCCCAGCACCCTCGAAAGTGGCGACAGTTTCACAGATCGCAGCCCCCCAGGGTTGGCGAGGTCCCATTCGAATCCGCCGTGGGTGCAGACTGTGCTGGGCCCCCCAGCAGCCCTCGAAAGTGGCGACAGTTTCACAGATCGCAGCCCCCCAGGGATGGCGAGGTCCCATTTGAGTCCGCCGCGGGTGCAGACTGTGCTGGGATGGCGAGGTCCCATTTGAGTCCGCCGTGGGTACCCACTGTGCTGGGCCCCCCAGCAGCCTCGAAAGTGGCGACAGTTTCGCAGATCGCAGCCCCCCAGGGATGGCGAGGTCTCATTTGAATCCGCCGCGGGTGCAGCGGGTGCAGACTGTGCTGGGCCCCCCCAGCAGGCTTCGAAAGTGGCGACAGTTTCGCAGATCGCAGCCCCCCAGGGATGGCGAGGTCCCATTTGAGTCCGCCGCGGGTGCAGACTGTGCTGGGCCCCCCAGCAGCCCTCGAAAGTGGCGACAGTTTCACAGATCGCAGCCCCCCAGGGATGGCGAGGTCCCATTTGAGTCCGCCGCGGGTGCACACTGTGCTGGGCCCCCCAGCAGCCCTCGAAAGTGGCGACAGTTTCACAGATCGCAGCCCCCCAGGGATGGCGATGTCTAATTTGAGTCTGCGGTGGGTACCCACTGTGCTGTGCCCCTCAGCAGCCCTCGAAAGTGGCGACAGTTTCACAGATCGCAGCCCCCCAGGGATGGCGAGGTCTAGTTTGAATCCGCCGCGGGTGCAGACT